AGAATCTTCAATGTGACACAGCAGTGCCATTCCATGAAAAGCGGTGTATGGTCCCCAAGTAAAGGAATGCATGTGCCCTAAACGAGAAAACAATGGGCGGAACTAAATAAAATGGAATTTTGAAAGGGGATCTGAGAATAAGAAGTCGCATATAAATGACTGAAGCATCACTGCCTCTAACACACTCCCCAACATGGAACGGCGTATCTACCCATATTTTCGCCAAAAGTACAACTTTAGCATCTTCGTCAATTGTCATCACAAATTCTTCTTCACAGCCGCTAACTCACATCCAGGTCTCTCAATAGTTTTACTGCGTTTGTACCGACAAAACCCTCTTTTGATTTTAGATTTATTTCTTCTTCCAATAAATCAATTCTACAAGTCCCCGCGAGTATCGGCACAGTCCCTCCACTCGTTTGTTAGTGTTCTTCTCTTCTCGAGAGCATTAATGTTTGTTTTGGCACATACGATGCATTGTTGTGGTTCCATTTTACACCTTCTGCTTTTGTCTGTCTACAATCTTTTGCAATATGCCCAATCTTATTGCAAATAAAGCACACCTTCGGTGCCCGGCTTCCGTTTTCCTGTCGGCATACTCTGGCTAAAATTTTATGGCATGTCATAAATATTGACATATTCATTTCTGTTCTCTGTTACTTTGCCTGATGTCTCTGGTATGATCTTTTGCCAAGCTGCTATTGTTTGAGAAGAGTGGTTCGATAAACTGTTCCTTGATTAAAAGCTCGCTTATTCCATGACAGGTCTGCTCTTCACCCACCATATCTTCCCTTCTTGTGAAATAACCAGGAAGTGGTCTGCTCTGCCTGAACTTCACACTGAAACCCTCTTCAGTCAACTGGTATCGTTTCAGAATAACCCTATTCAAAGTGTCATACTCGTTGGCTTCTACAGTAGACAAACGTGTAAATACTTCTAGAACTTGGCCTGATAGTAATCAGCTTAAACTCACGACCCAAATGTCTTTTCCCAGTAATGGCTGATGACATGTCTCTCAAATCTTTCTAGAAATGGATCTATATTGTCGTTTGCTTCTCTGAACTAAGGTATTCTTGGTCTGAGTGACTTGCTTCTATCACTAGTTGTTATTTTGCTGGTTCGATCCGCTATATCTGAATTTTTTTCCTTCATCTTGAGCTCAAAACTTATTTCTATCTGTCTTATTTCTTCTTCACGCCTTCGGGCGCTTCCCCCTCTGGCTATGCACTCTTCTTTCTCTCGGAGTAACATTTTTAAATCTTAGCTTTTCTGCAATTTTTAGCTATTCGTCGTAATACATATTGCTCAGTTTATCAAAATCTTTTCAAAGTGATCCCGGTCGAGCCCCCAATTTTCAAGTTATAGTTTCTCCTATGTGATATTTATCGATATTCCAATCGGTACTTGTGACAATTAGTTAAGATTTGATGCACTCCTCGGACTTACTGCGCTCCTTATACTTGCTGCAGAATTAGACTTGCTACACTCCTTATACTTGCTGCACTCCTTGAACCTGCTGCAGTATTAGACGTGCTGCACTCCTTGACTGGCAGCGCTCCTTTAACCTGCTCCGCTCCTTAAACTTGCTGTGCTCCTCAAACTTGTTGCGCTCTTTAGACATGATGCACAAGTAAGACTTGCTGCGCCCTATTGCTTTTTACTTGGGAAACGGACCTCTCTAAGACTTGCTTCTTTCCTCGAAGTGGACCGTTTTCTAGACTTATTTGGTTCCTTTACTCGACGGTGAGTTGCTCACCAAAAGGATACTTGCGGAAAATAAGCTTTTTGACAATATTGAAGTTTCTATCGAAATTAATTGTTTTCATGAAAATAAACAACGCGTAAAACGGTTGCGCCACAATTGTTACGTCTCGTCAAAACAAAAAAAAAATGGCGGACATTGTGTTTCTTTTTATAAATAAAATGGCATTTGGACAGATTAGATACAAAATTGATACAAAATTTATGTTTGCATAAAACACTCGGTAGTAGACGTCTACCAAGATTATTGTCCTGGTGTCAAAATTGGCCCTGTCCCGGGGTCATTGATTTCATTATATACATATACATTGTAGTAAAATCTTAAAAATCTTTTTGTGAAAAAGGAAACAACCTACATTGGAATGTCTAATACATGTTATGAAATTTTTATGTAAAATGTTCAATAGCTTTGAGTTAGCCTAAAGGTATTGATTTTCAGAGATATTTATGAATTGATTCAGGTAATAAAATATGATAAACAAGATCAACAAGGAAAGCCGGCGTTCAATGCACGCAACTCTAGCAAGACAGTTGTGAGTTTTGTAGAGATATTAAATGAAACAATTGGAGCACATTATAAGGACATGATGATTCCATCGTGTTTATAATAAAGATTATGTTTTAAGAAATTGGTAATGTTAAATTGAAAAGATGTTATTTAAATTCCCCAGTGTCTGGGCTCCTTGCCGCTGGCGCTTGTTGCTGGGTCGAGTGGGGGCTGCGTTCATTGAATGCCACCTTTCCTTGTTGATCTTGTTTATCATATTTTAAGTACCACTGACCGTTCCAAGGCGGTACCCCTCTACGTGTTTTTCATGTCTGTATTGTTACTTGTTTTTGAATGATTACATGTTTTGTGATGTCTGCCTTGTTGGATTGTTATGTACGGTAGGTATTTTCTCACCCCCTCCCATTTTTACCCCCTTCCCTTTTCACCTTTACAGCCCTTATCCCTTTAATTCCAATATGGGCCCGTATTAGTTATATCATTTCATACATGTCCCTTTCCTTTCGCCGCCCTTATGTCCACTCCAGGTTTTTGTTGGGTATCTTCTGGGTGTCATACGTGGGTCTGATGGGGGGAAGTGGTGGGGGCTGCGTCCTGTGAACGTTGTCTTTGCCTTGTTGATCTTTATTCTTTTTTTAAGGAATAGTAACTGTACCTACATTTCAAATTTTAATACAGCTATGTTATACAGTTAATACATATTTTGTGTCAAGAAAAAAATCTTTTATTTTTAAATCAATTATTGCACTATGGCCTTTGTATCTTAATATTAGACAAATCTGTACATGTGTCTAATGATTTGGAATGCTGAAATATGACATTTATTCTAATTCACTAGACACAACTGCATTAGGCAAAGTTGAATTGTATAGTAACAAAAATATGTACTGTTATTTAAATGTGGTGGCATAGCATTTTTTCACAAATGCATTCTTGTTTTCAGTTTTGTTACAGTTATTGCCTTTGACTTAGTATAAATTTACAATCTTCAATTTGTTCATGCATAGCTCAAAAAGTGTTTGACCTGTAGGCCTGAACGTTTAAAAGAATGTTGGTCAGCGTGTGTACTTTTGCACATTGGGTTTGCTTGTGGATTTATTCAGTATTTGTAAAGTTCTTGCCCTTTACTTAAAGTTCTTGCCCTTTACTTAGTAAAAGATTTTTAGCTTTCAACTTGTGGCACATGTACCCAAAATATATTTGACCTAGAGTCATAAGATTGACAAAACAGTGAGGGCACCCGTTGGGGCACCCGTGTCCTATGGACACATATCTAGTTTTTACAGTTCCAAACATGTATGCATAGCATAGTTTTAACGCGAGGAATTCTGTAACAAGTGACGTTTGAAAAGTTATTGCCAATATAAATATGGTTTGAATGAAGTCATTTTTTTTCCTGACAACGTCAAAGATATGGCTCCTGACGTTTTGACATATTTTGAAATCTAAATGTTCCATATTGTCAAATATACAAATCATAAAGTTCCAGATGCCAGCGCAAATTTACGCACTGCGCCGGATGTGCGTTATCATGCTTTTTGAATTCGCTGTTACGGACAAGCTATTTGCGTAATCAGATTAGATATAGCATCAGGTTAAGGTATTGTTTTCCGATTAATTGTGATATATAACATTTAATGAAAGGTTGAAAATTCTTCAACTGACAGTCCCAGTCCCGTTAATTTTTTATCATCTCTCGTATGAACATCTAAATGACCCCCTGGTCATATTACGCGATCCCTTCATACATATTCCATAATGAATAAAGTATATGTACATCTACATTATCCCCTTGTCCCCTTACGTGATCCCCTCATACATGTTCCATAACAAACATTACAAAACAACAATGTATTTTCACGTGTGTTTCACAATTCGGATTGTGTAAACAGATGAAAGAAAGGGTGCTTGATATTTTCAAACAATCTTGATGTTTTTATATAAAGATTTAAAAAAGATCTTTCGATTTTGAAAGGTACATAGATAATCTTCTTAGTAAGTTTAGAACTGTTCTAACTCGATTACGTCTTTCGTCTAGTCAGCTCAATATTGATGTTGGTAAACAATGTCAGAAACAGAGTAAATAGAAACCAGTGCTTGTGGTTATTGTGTGATAAAATTGACGTAAAAGTCGAATTCCATTTTGTTTTGATATTTCCAATTCATTTACATTTCAGAAACATTTCATAAACTCGTATTTTCACAACAGACCAAGTATCCATACGTTTGTTAGATTGATACGCTCTTCCAATAAGCATACACTGCTAAACCTTGGGAAATATTCTCTGAAGCTTTTGCCTTGCCTAAAATTCTATACTTGTCTATACTATGTTGTAGCATGTTTTGCTAAATTTTTGGTCAACTTTTGTCGTGTTTGTATTTCTTGCATAATTTAAACAATTCATTGTAAACACTTCATTAAACAACTAATAACAGCGAGGAAATCTATGATAATATTGCAAATCTGTATGTACCCTTTGACGGTAAGAACTAATATATACTAAGTTCAGCCTCCATTTAAAACTTAATTACCAATAATAGCCAACACATTTGTATTGTATTCATGTCTGTCAATAAAATATGTATGATGATGAACTTGACTGTTCAAATCAATAAAATGCATTGTTGTTGTTGTTCTTAAGTTTACCAATACTTGTTTCAATAGAAGTCGCTGTAGATAAGATCAAACATATGAACCTTAAATAATAATATATTTACGTCTTGCTTGTAGGTTTACCGGGGTGTTCGTCGATTCGCTGCAGAAAATGCTAGTAAAAGATATCCTGAAGTTTGGGATTATCCTTTTAATCACGATCGTTGTATTTTCCGGAACATTTCTTTTGGTATTAAAGGCTGAAAATACGCTTCAATTACACGAAGAAACAACGCAAGTATCTTGTTATATAACCCATAGAACAATGAAAGGAATAAATAGTTAAGTCCCACGAAGGTTGTTATATTGCATTGAACATTCCGTCTAGCGATTTGATTTTAATCATTCTCTTATATCAAATAAGAAATGTCTTTATCAGATTTGAGATATATTTTCAAAATATATGTTGGCAATACTTTATGATTACACAGTGATAAACATATATTCAGTTAAACGATGACACGGTCAGTGTGGACATTCCACAAAATATGCATCATTTTTAACATGTAATGGATTCGAAAGTATGTTTATGAAAAAAACACAACTACTGAAATACAACCAATGAACGTCCAGCATTTGTACCTTGTAAAGTGCCATCATAAATATTATCAATTTATCCCTGTTTCCATCACCTGAACAGGTAATGCCTCGTCCTATAAAGGTGTAAACTAACCCATTAGAAACAAATATGGCACTTATTTTGGTATCATTTCCATTTTGTGATGTTAACAATTCAATTTTTTTAGGGGGGGGGGGCATTTGGTCTTTTTCAATTGTCTTTTATAAGATGTTGTCTAAAATCATTGTGCATGGGACACTTGGAGTATGCATAAAACTCGCCCTGTCATTTAGAGAAAAAAACTACATTTTCTTTAATTATAAAGCAGTGATTCAGGTTTATGTCATTTACATTAATCTACATGTATGTTGGCTTATAAATCAATGACCCTTTACATATACTTAAGTCATGCAACTTAAAGTAAAGTACATTATACGATTTTTGTCCTGCAAGTATGTCTATATGGAACTATAACTCACACCTTTAACATCAATACCTTTAAACCAAAAATCTCAAACAAATAACTTAGTAAAGAATTAGTAAAATATGTTTTTCATAGAAATCTCATTGATGTTTCACGGACATGAAAGAAGATCTTATGATCTCTTATTTTTACGTTCATTCCGAATTTGGATTCTTTCATGTCAGAAACTATATAGCTAGCTTCGGTGGTCATACACAAGTGTGTAATTGTTCCTTGAAGTAATTCACTGAAAGGCACCTGGAGTATACCAAGCTAAATGTCCTATTATGACCATAAGAGTATCAGTGTGATATTGACAACAAAATCAATGCTTGCCCAGAAAATGTTTTTAAGGTCATTTTTAAAAGACCCATCTAAATGAATAACAATTCAACGAAAGGGATATTTTTGAAAAGTTACGAAAAAAGCTTTATACGTAAATTTAGGATTCAGTACATTTACTAGTAAAATAATTTGAAAATATGTCGTCCTACTGTAAATAAGTGATATTATTTTATTCCTTATAGGTCGTTTTGGAAGATAGGGATTGTTGGTATAAGAATCATGATTGAATCGGACGGTATTGTTGAATACACTGGAGACGAAGGTTATAAGTAAGTTACATCAATATTAACAGCCGTTCGTGTAAGCTTTATTACAAGACGTTTGTGTTATAAATGTGTTGTTATTGTGAACACCAGGATGGTTAGTTGTTCTAGTAATTATGCTATTTATCTATTTTTATTTGTTATTCATTCTTCAATGAGTATTAAACTCATGACGAAATATCTGCAAAAAATTGTATAACATCGTAATAAATATCAAACCAAAGTAATAAAATTAAAACAATTATGTTCGTATATTCAAACTTTGTGTCCTTCGCGAAAAATTATCATGAAACCTAAATAATATGGAATGGGATATCAGATACATTGTTTTTGTTACGACTTTCTTGAAATGCGACCATATAAATATCGGAACCATTGTAATTGAATAGATTTCGAAGTGTTTATATTTCATTTCACCAAGCAAAGCATTGCACCCTTTATTGTCTATGCTGCGATATGATTGAATGTTTTACATATATTTATATGATAGGTGATACAATAGCACTGGATTTTTACCTGTTTTTATATATAAAGCATTCATTTGTGAACAAGTCATCCTCTTTTTTGTATATAGTTTTGTTTTAAAATGAAAGTTTACAGTTTTAGAACACTTACCCTCTTATCTTTTAACGTTTCAGATTTGCTGGTGCGATGGTAATGATGGCATTTATGTTCTTTATTATTGTTGTGCTGTTGAACATGCTGATAGCGAAAATGATGAACACATACAGGGAGATAGAGCAAACTTCACTGAGCGGTTTTCTTGTCAGACGAGCAAAGATAGTAGCACGCATGGAAAGAGAACACATGCCATTTCCATTTAATATTTTCAAAATAGTGAGTTTCTTTTGCTGTTAAATGATGTCAACACAATAATCATAAATTTTCTTTATTGGTTCTTTTAGTGTTATTATAAACAATCCTGTTTTTATTTGTATTTCACAGTTAAAAACTGGAGCTTTGGCTACCGATTTGGGTTAGGGTTCGAACCTTACTCGCGGCCATGTTTTCTCAATGGTTTTCTTTTATGGTTAATTCTAAGAGGCGCGTGTATATGGGAATTAAGAACGTGTAGCTTTTCCTTCTAAAATGAAGCTGAAGTTTAACTTTGGTGAAAGTGTGATGCATTACGTCATCATGACATCATCTTCTGCTTTCTACTTTTAAGTCCAGCCGTTCGGTCATTTGTCTCGTCAATGATGATCAAATTAGTATTACATGATCTCGTCTTGATCATCAAAAACAAAACAATAGATATATAAATCGACGTAGCGTACTCGTATTACCCGTCAGTTATCATTTTTCTCTCGCATTGTTTTGAGTAAGACATATTTTTATATCTTTACATGCAAACATAGCACAAAAGATATATCTCTCAGTATACGGTAAATATCGAGACATATATCTCCTTTCACGATGAATGAAAATTTTGAAAAATTATCTCAAAATTGCGGGATCGACATGTTTTGTGCAAACGAATCCTCGAAAATTAACCACGGGTAAACATACAAATATCTGCTTTGCATTCATTAAGATATTCCAAGCAGGTTAATCATTGAATGTCAGTTATAATGTAACGATTTTCCGATAAAAATATCCAATTTTCGCGCATTTTAACTAAATTTCAATTCAATTTCTTTCTTAAAAACATGTCTGCATGCTACTGTCAAACAGATGCTGAAACTTTTATTGGATAAGTCATTACACGTGACAAAATGGTAGCAATATGTAAACAGAAAAAAGTTTAATTTTAAATTTAAGAAACATAAATTGTCAACAAAAAGCGTTATTCGGTTGGAATACAATGTTTTGACAATTTTTTTGGCTAGACAAATGTTCCAAACGCATCTTTAAATAGGGATAAATAGCGAATGATTTTCGCAAAAATTGTAATCAATGTAATAATGCAAAACCTGTATGCAGTATTCCTGCCCTGTTATTCGACTTTAAAGTACTTGTCATTTATATTTTAAAAATAAATCATTCCGGAGGCATAAGACCTAGAATTTTCCTTAGTTAATACTTTTTTTGTCTTTATAGATTTTTCTGGGTACTGCATATGTTTACATAGATGACAGTTAAAAGTTAATGAATGTTTTACATCTTATTTTCATTTGCAGACTTGCTTAGTATGTAAGCCAATAAATAATGTGATCATCTGTTCGCCCCTGAGGTTATCGATATTTCTTTTTTGAATGTCTACTTCGGCAATAAATAATAGACACAGGTCGTTTCACTTTCCTTTTTGTTACTTTCATTCAAATTTTATTTTGTTGTGTTCATAATACTATAACAAATATCTAGAAATTGTTCAATTTTCTAGATGTCTTTCTAGATATCACAATATTATTCCTATTTTGAATTACTGAACTTTTCCCTTGAGATTGGATCAGTCATTTTAAACTAAATGATGAAACAACGAAAAACATCACGATCATATTTTTTTTCAACAGGATGATAAAAGAAAATCTTTCTACTCAAAACTAACAGGGAATTTGTATCTGAAAATATCTGATGACCTAAATATCTCAGACACTGAAAAAGTACATGACGATTCGTTGACAATACAACAAAATTTAGAAGATCGTTTGATAGAAATCTCCAATACGTTGCAGGAGTTGAAGAAATACTGTGTTTCATTAAGAGACTCTGTTAATCTTTCAGAGTCTCATAAAAATGAATTCGCTAATTTGCATAAGAATGATGATGCCGCAGAAGCCACCACCAATTTGTAACATCGTAAGGGACTGAACAAACTCTTATGAACCGAATTGAATCAAGTAAAATTACAGTTAGAATTGGAAAAATGAAAATTAGAATATGGAAGGGAAAAAATCAATATCTTGAAAATAAAACATGTTTTTTTGTAAATATTACTAAACCACATTATCACACACCAGTGCCAATTTTGCGACTCCGTAAAAATGGTATTGCACGGCCGTGTATATATTTTGACGTGACGTCATTGGCGTTATACAAACATAGTGTAAAGACGCGCTACATGTTAGCGTAATACTATAGGCGCGTCAATGAATAATGACTTTTTTCACTTTAAACGGTCTTTATTTTGTGTATGTAATAAATAAAATATTAACTTTGTGTACGTCCATTACTAAATTTATTGAACTCGTTAAATACTGTTGGGAAAAGGCGTGAAATATAACAAACAAACAAACGTTGAATAAAATTATATTATGCTCGCAAGAGGCTCGCATAATATAATTTTATTCAACTCGTGCAATAAATTCAGTATTGAACATACACTCATTCAATATCCTCTATGTACAATCTGTCAAAATCAAACGTGTGATAAATCTTCAACATTACACTCCATGGCCTGAGAAAAAAATTAACATTGGGTAGCAAAAACCAGAACTGAATTAGAAATATTGCCAATGCAATAACTTATTGTGTAACATGTTTGTTTGCAATTGAATGATCTACCTACAATATAAATGTGTTATATTTAAGAAATGATGAATAATGCTGTTCGATTTCGCACCCTATATGGATCAAATCTGTGGCGTTATTGTATGTGAGATATTATTTCAGTATTGTAAGAAAAGAAAACTGAAAATATCAATAAACATGTTTTTTTATTTTTGCTTTTAAAGGCATTGTACACTATATAATCGTAGGAGAAAACATAACAGCCGCATATTCAAGTAGTCCCTAACCAGTGTCTATTGGCAGTTTAACACCGTTTTTTCTAATTTGTCTAAAGTGACAAAATCACGGGGAGTGTTAGAATAATGATTGATGTAATTCATAAATTTATACTTAATACCAATCAGACGTTTTCACTGTCATACACACAAATGTATTATGCATTTAATAGTAAAGCATAATTATGTAAGTATGTATGTAAAGAGGACCTTATAATTCAGTACATGTAATTGCATACCCGTGTCTATATTCAATTAAAATAAAGTACGAATTGTTAAAGCCTATGCATAATATGATTTTTTTTCGCAAATTTAAGGATGTTCGTCATACAAATTTTTGGATACGTTTATCAGATGTAATGAATCTAATTTTGACAGTAATCAATACGTCTTACATTTGTCTTACTCGAGTGATGCTACCTGTGTACTGTCATTATGTAATCTTGAATCGTGAATGTTATTGTACTGTTAATTAGTGCTATATATAGAGATTAATTTGTATTCAATTATTTCAATTCAACGGTCATTTTTTTTATTTATCTATAGAATAGTACATATCTGAATTAAAATCATACTATACTAAACTACTTACATTTCTACAACTTATTTTTGGTTAGACAGATCATAAATCCAAAGGAACCAGTCTCTCTAAAATTGTGTCATTTTTATGTTATTATTGTTATATGAATAAAATAAAATATTAATCATAGCTCTACCTAGTTATATAGGATTTATTGGATAAGTTTTGGATAGTGCTGCCGTTGAGCACACCTGCTGTTCTAACTAAAGTACACATAAATTTGATGTTTACAAACACTAGTTAAACTCAAATGCAGCAATATTCAAATTAACAAGATATGTACATACTTATAATTCAAAATACTTGTAAATAATAACAATTTTTTAAGGGTAGTTATGCTGTTTCTTTTATCATTTGCATTAAAATGTTACTTTTGCTTTGCAATGATGATGAATTTGATGATGATGGTAATAATAGAGACATTACAAGCAAGAGTGAACTATGACGACATGTGATGATATACTGATGTATTCATTGTGATTTAATAATGTACGACGCACAAGTTGAATTTGTATCGTGTGATGAGATAATGATAAATTTATCATACGATATAATCAAATATATTGTCACAAACATGATGATCCTTTTACGTTGAGGTGATGTTAAAAATTAAAGTTGTTTTTCTGTGAAAATATTTTGCTCGCAAGTACATGTATAAATCTTTGATAAAAATGATACATTTCCCAATAGTGTCACACATTTTCTGAATGATGATGGTGTAAAATCATTTGGCATTTATGATAAAATTTACAATTGAAAATATGTACATAGTCTTTTTATAATGTTGATAGTAAGATCGTTATAATTATGTAAATTATACACTTCTGTAAACTAACATTGCTTGTGAAAGATAGTAAATTGTATTAACTCATTGCATATATCTGCAGTCTATATTCAAATAAAACGTCAGCGTATCTCCAATTTATTATTTTCTTTTTTTATTTGTTTTTATATATACACTTTCATGTCTAAAAGTTCATGATTACACCAAACATTGTAACTTAAACCTGAACGACATTGTAAGGTGTGTACCATTCGGTATTACATTATATCTATGCAGGGGTATATAACAACGCGGGGTTATAATTTATGATCATTTTATGATCATTGGTTTCTTTTCGAACTTTTATTTAGGAGTAATTTTTCGGACTTTGAAAATATTAAACTTAAACTAAAACTTTCTGAAATTATTAAAGCCAACATTTTTATTTTGTCAAGTGCTATTTGAGTTAGGATAAGCTGTCTATATAATTGATTTCATGTAAAGTAAACGTGACTGTAAATATAGTATATTTTAGTTAACATTTAATTCGTTGTAAAATTGTTCTCAGTTTGCGTGTAAATGTATTTGTTGTTTTTGTATGCATGTGACAAGTTCTTTTTTTAAATTTAACAACCATTGAGTGTTATAGGTCTGTAGTTATATAACTGATTGTGTTAGTGAAAACAAATGAGTAAATTAAATATCTTACAATCTTATTTCTAAACTGCAAGTATTTCAGCACATAGAAGATGCAAAATGTGATATTTACTGTCTACAAGACAAACATTTTCCACACAAAACAATTTAACACCATTTGTAGTCAGTGAAATGCAGATTTTTTTTAAGTTGTTCATCAAGTCTGGCTATGCATCCAGAACCAATTTTATAAATTATATTCAGCCGTGTAATGGGTCGCCAATCTTTCAAAAATTGTTCAGGTTTGTTTATCACCTTTAGGGATACATATAATTATAACCTGTGTTTATGTTACAGATAAGTTTTCAGACATAAAAGCGTGATTTAGGGCTCTGCAAACAAGTTAGCCGATTCTTTAAAAACATTTTTGAAATTCTGCTGTAAATCCGGAAGAGCCTGGATTTTACAATTTTTCATATTCTTTACAAAAAAGATACTTCTTCTAATTTAATTTCACCCTCAAGCGTTTTAGTCTCTGCATTTGATAAAGTTGGAATGTGTATATCTTTAACAAAACTTATAAATTTATGTTAGCTACATGTATATAATAATATAATAGAATGTGAGGTTTCGGGTAAGATTCCATATTGTCTTGTTATCAAAGTACAATTGTTTTACATGATTTTGTAATACATTAGCTAACTGAATTGTTTTTATTTTCAAGATCACGAACGAAGTTCTTATAAGAACCATAAGCTATCGTAGATTTACCTCTTCTTTCCATTAATAAGATTTTTTGAAAAACTTATCTGCTGCGCTTATTGTGGCATAAAGCAACTTGGGTAAGGCGAATCATAACAAGCAATTGAAAATTGTTAGATTTGCTTCTAAAGTGATAAATATTTATGTTAAATTGTTCAATTTTGGTGCTCATTCCCCAGACACCAAAGATCCTGTACAAACTAATTTTTGAAAGATACTTTAAATGGTTTAAAAAAAGTTCTATATTCTGATAAATTGTTAGAATATCCATTGTTTTTTTAAACCCAAATATATTGATTGGTAAAACAAGTCATGGTTTTATGTTTTCAGTGTATATAGGTGATATGAATGGAGTTTTATATGAGATTCATGAATGAAATTAAATCTATAATGTGAGTGTTTTTGGGGGTTTTTTGGGTTTTTTTTTTTTCATTATAAGTGCATTCGTCATGGAGAAGTTGTATATCTTTGAATTGCTGTTTGAACTGTTAGTAATTTGAAAAAAGGACTCGTGACAATTTGTCATTTTGAAAATTAAAAAAAGGTTCACAACAAAAGAAAAAAATTGACAATAAATTATGGAACAAAATTTGTTCACTTATATTTGATTTACTAAGAAATCACGAATTTACAATGGTTTCAATACAGAATTATACACAGAATGCATGGTTCACACGAACTGTTTATTAAGATACCATAAAAGACTATCCAAAATGCTGGTTTTGCAATCAACATGTTGAAAGCTTAGAACACATCTTTTGGGACCGTTAACATGTTTTTGAAATGATTCGTGTCTTTTTGAAACTTCTCATTTGCATTTGACAAGAATACAATTTCTTTGATGCATACAATATGCAGATTATAAAACAAATATTTTGCTTTTTATTTGTAAAGAAGTACATATATTATTGTAAAATAATTTAAGAAAGACATTCCATAGAGGTTACTAAGCATTAAATTAAGTACCATTACCAAATCGATAGAGAAATACAAACAATAATTAACAAGATAGATATTTTGAGAAACATTTGGGAAAGTTTGAAATATACATTTTGTATTTTCATTTCATGACCAGTTTGTAAGTGTAAAGGAAATATTGTGTAGGAAATATTTTTAGATTCAATTCGACTAGGAATGTTTTTCGTTCATTAAACTACTGGTCTATTAAACTATATATAGAACAGTTAAAAGGGATTTTACATTAATAATAACAGGCTTCTTATTTTTTGTTTGAATGTAGCATGTATATAAATTTTGTTTGTTCGGTTTAAATGTCTGTTTCTTTGTATGGTTGTATGTATTTATCTATGTTTAAAATAAACGGAGCAAAAGGTAAGAGCCGTCTTTTTATATTTCCAAAATTTTCCACCGGGTCTGATATCTACGCTGATGTTCCTCATATTTGTACCATTTCTGTTCATTGTCTTTATCAATGACATCGTCTTGGAAATACAATCAATCATTCGATTGATTGTTGATGACAAATCTCCTTATCTTAAAGTTGAAAACCCTATAACCGATGTTGAAATCCTGAACTCAGACCGTGACAAGATAAGGGATTCAGATACTGGAGTTACGCTATCTAAAAACGGATCCTGGTGTTAACACATTTCTAATATCAAACACGAACCTTGGCAATGATCGATATCATGTGGAAATTAAAATTTAGCCTCTTGAATCTATTTACTTATCATTTATTAGGTCGCTCCTTTATTAGGTCATTCTTAAAATATGTAGACGTCGTATGGGGCAATTGGACAAAAATAAGAA